TCTTTTAAAAATTGAGCTACTTAGTGAACCTGGCGATCGACTTTTCTGAAATTAATGTTGTTTTTTATGGAAAATGATAGCGTTTCGTTTACTGATTGTACTTGATCGTACCACCAGTAGCATTGCACCTTCGATTAATAAATACAAACGCACCGAAATAAGTACAAACTATTGGCGGTGCGATCGAGTGCAAAGGAAATGCTATCACTTTCCATTAAAAAGGAATTCGGAAAAATTTTTCCATTAAAAAGGAAAAATCGGTTGCAAGGTTCGCGTAGCTAAAGCTACATCGTGTTAACGACTCTCTGAAATCGCAAAAATAAAATTAGATGTAAATATTGATAGCGTTCGAGTTTTGCATAGCAATTAACATTCCGATCGATTATTAACTATTTCCCGGCTAGCGGTGAATGTTTCGCGGATTTCATACCTATCCTTTCTGCCTGGAAGCCTTGGGTCAGCAAAGGAAGGTTAACTTCGTTCGCTTCCATTAAAACCAAGCTGCAGGAAGCGTAGGATCGTATTAAAGTATAAATTAATCAACGGACACAATTTTATAAAATTTCGCTCGAGGGTTTACCAGATTTTATCCCGGCATACTTTTACTGCTTCTCGCTCTGCCACTCGAGCATTAATATTAAAGGATACGCACAATGTTCCGCGTTTAATTGATCCACGTGGAAAACTCTCAACTTATATTCGGAAAATCGTTTCCCATCGCTAACAATGCCGATCGTGCTATTCGATAAAATAAATGAGCCCGGTATGCATCGTGCATGTATCGATAATGTATAAAATTATATAAAGAACATAAATTTGATTTTTTAACGGGACCAGCGCTTTTCCTCTCCGAATAATACCTACGCAACCACACCTGTCCCTTTCGTTCAGTTCCACTTTCTTCTATCTCCATTTTTTTATAATAAACAATGCCACGTTTTCCCGTATTCATAACACGACCGAAATATCTTTACACCGAGTCAGGTATCATTCTTGTGCTTCGTTACAGGTTGAGGATCACACGCGTCAAGCCGAACGACTCTGGAAACTATAGTTGCGTGCCCACCGTGGCGGAGAGGGCCAGCGTCAACGTGCACGTCATCAACGGTGAGTTTCGAATGAAAAATCCTATACGATCGACGCGGTACAACCACGACAAACGTTCGTTTCGTGTTTGAATTCAACTTTGAACCGGAAACTTAAAAACTATAAATTTTAATAAAATAAAAAATGATCCGGACAACTCGAGAGTTTGTACTCGGATCGGAACTTTATAATTTCGCCCGAGCCTCTCGTGAATCTCATAAAGAAGAAATCAAGACGAAAGTTGTACGAACGGGAAGAGAATCGAGCGGATGCAAAACAAATTTTCCAAAGGCACTCGTCCGTTCGAGCTCGTACTTACGATCGAACTCTAGGGAGCATGATTCGATTACAAATTTCCGATAGCCGAGACAGCGGACATTCTTCGGGGAAAGTAATTTCATACAGTACACCGACGGAGAAGTAATAAAAGCTCGGCTTACGATACGTTGCGATACCGGGGTTACGATACATCGACGAGAACACGTGGCGCGGATAAATGGGTAATTATATAAATGCTTCACTTCGCGTCGAATTAATTAGTCTTCGTCGTATTTAATCGATAACGAGAGAGTTTACGTACGTCAAGTACGAAATCTTCGAAAGAACTGTGACTGGATGAAGTTCTGACTGAATTCGTTCGGAGAATTATTTATAGAAACATTCATCCACTTGGTTTCCACTTGCGTCCGGCGTATCAGGTGTCGATTTTTCTCGGTCGTATACTCCAACGCATGGAATTGTTCATTTATTGGTAGTTTCGTAGAATCGATTATTCTCGCTTTTCGCGTACTTGAAAAACGATTCGCCTAAAGTCGCCGGTATCGTTTTCTCGATACGTTTATTCGCTGATTCACTAATTTCTTCGGTCCATCTTTGCGGAACGACGAGCACTTTGCATCGTACGTCTTTTGGGTGTGCCGGTTTTCGGTAAGCTGCTATGCAAATTCGAATTAACGTCGGGTACCACATGGAAATCGGACCTTAAGACTAATGGGATTCCCTCGCCTCCGCCTCTTTTCCGGGAGTACGGATTCTACACGGTCTGCCATAAATCCGAGCCGACCTCGCGGACATAAACTTCGATATTTTGAAAAAGACTCGATCGGACTGAAAGCAAGGATGAGAGATTGGAACGCGAATTACACGAAAGATAGAACGAACTATATGGATTGTATCCGGATTGGGGCTGAGTTTATATCGAGGCGATTTTTGTTACGATTTATTACGATAAATTATGTATCGAAGCAACAGACGTATAAAAAGTGAATCTAGCGCTCGGACGGAAACGTTTGAAAAAAATTGGGAAAATTTGGTCGATCGATTTGGCTTGCGAAAATGTATCAAGGCGGTCCGATTCCGGCGACGTTCCAAATAAACCAAGCTTGGCCTACTTACGAGATGCTCCGATACTTGAATATTGCAAATACTGGCTAGAACTTGGTTACACGTCGAAAACAGCCGGGTTCGCCGACTCCGCGCTCGGTAGCCATCTTTTTCGAAGCGGAAAAGGATACAAGTTACGAGGTACAACGGTGTTCGTCGGCCTTCGAATTCCGAGCATCGCGTTGCGTCGCGTCGGTGTCCCTTCAGCGGAACGCATATTTAACGGAAGACGCGTTAATTGGGACGCGATACACGCGAAAAGAGTGCACGCGGAAGGCAACGAAATATCGCCGAGGCGTCGGCGTAACGTCGATGCGAAATTAATTGGCGAACAACGAAAAGAAAAGCTTCGGCCAAACGTTGCGTTAATTTTATTAAACGTCGAAGCTTCTATTGCAATTTTAATTTCAATTTCAATTTCGAATGCCGTGGAATCGCGCTAGGGCAGAGCTTGTCCGATCGCGCAACGATAATACCCCTTCTTCGATTACCGCGCCGATCATTTGCATAATTCCCTGGCTAACATGATTTTCCTCGTCGAGCCGCGACAGCCGGTGGCCGATAATCTCGGCGCGATTTTTTTTAGAAAGATGTGATGGTGTAAGGATTTCTTGAGAAATGTCGGCAGATTCGGATGCGTAGATGTAGGAAGCAAGGAAAACAATGGTGCGGAGCGATTACCGAGTACGGACTTGTGCGTTTATCGAGGAGCTTTGAATTGTAGAGAAGGACAGCGAATAAAGATGAGATCATGTTACACTACTCGACGATCGAACCCCTTGATCCCTCAAAGAGTATATCATCCAGTGGTGGGGATGCTTCCGGTGCATTTATCGTAGAGATATTTAAAGAGACTTTACTGTACTTGGAGAAAAGAGGAGAACGGTTGCAGAA